AAAAAAAGTTAAAATTAATTTTGGAAGAACTCAAAAAGTTTTGGATTTATAAGAGCATTTTATCGCTTTTTGAGCCCAAATTTTTTTTTGCGCAGAAGTGTAATTAATAATAATACTAATAATAATAATGCACAACAAGAAAAGGAGGTGTGTATTCTGTGAGAAATACTTGGGCAAACTGCAGTGCAGAATTGTCAACAGTGGGCACATCAATAGTGCACAGGTGTGCAAACCAACTGGAAATGTGCCGAGGAAGCATAATCCAACGAAAGAGATATTGATTCCGAAAAAAGATGATGACTGCTCTTGAAGAAATTCTTAGGCAACCACAAAAAATAAAAGCTCAACAACTCACAAAAAATGTACTTTTAATGAAAAAAAAATTAAATTAAGGATGAAAACCTTCAATTACACTAAATTAAGCCCTTTATCCATTACTAAAAACTTATGAACTTCGGCCAAGGAGTTTTTGAAATAATTTATTATTTATTATAGGATGTTCCTTTTTTAGGGGTAGGAAAAAATTTAACAGAGGCGCCCCCCAAATTGGTTCCAAATCAAAAAAAAAATTCCTGCAAAATTTTAGATCAATCGGACAAAGAGAACACGTGCCTAACAAGGGTTTTTTGAGAAATAATTGAGAAAATTCGGAAGGATGATATTACTTTGAAACGATCTATCGCAGGAAAAAAAAGTGTATATAAATTTTGTGGGTTTATCTATGATATACAACTTTCATACCCACAGTTCTGCGTTAAAAAATTTTTTTGGGCTTAATAAGCAATAAAATGCTTTTTTGGGCACTTTAGTGCCACCTACTTTTTGAATTTTCTGCCCTAGAGCATTGAACCAATGACATAAATTGTAGGGGACAACGCGCCCTAAATTTTTTGTTGACAATTTTTTTTTCTTAAACGTACCGATTTTGAAAAAAATTAAATTCAAATCTTTTTAATTTTTCAACGGTTTATTGTAGGAAAAAAAGTTAAAATGAATTTTGTATTTTTTTTTTCAACTTTCTTAATGATAGTGGCATAAATTGTAGGGGACAATGCGCCCTAAATTTTTTGTTGACAATTTTTTTTTCTTAAACGTACCGATTTTGAAAAAAATTAAATTCAAATCTTTTTGATTTTTCAACGGTTTATTGTAGGAAAAAAAAGTTAAAATTAATTTTGGAAGAACTCAAAAAGTTTTGGATTTATAAGAGCATTTTATCGCTTTTTGAGCCCAATTTTTTTTTTACGCAGAAGTGTAATTAAGAAAGTTGTTTATCATAAATTAACTTACAAAATTTATAAACACTTTTTTTTCTTATGATAGACCGTTTCGAAGTTATATCTAATAATATATTTTTTTTTATGATTTGGAACCGATTTGGGGGGCGCCTCTGTAAATTTTTTTCCTACCCCTAAATAAGGAACACCCTAATTTATATACATATATATATTTTTTAAAACCTTACCACCCTGTATATTGAACGAATCTTTAAAACATACAATTTTATATAAACTTTTCTTCGTATTTTTGTTCTATCGACTAGTCAATTTTCCAGATTAAAATCTGAGACACCCTGTATAGTCGAACGTTTCTTGTAATGGTCAACCACGTGACAATCGGTTATACACTTCGTGTTTACTGCTAAATACAGAAAATATGGCAAAACATGAAGTGATTTTCAATCAAGAACAAAAATTTTACAAAACAACAGATACAATTTGGTTGAGTTTGTTTATTTATTTGTGTTTAATTTTAAATAATAATGTATTTCTTTTTATTAAGACTTGATTTTTCCATCAATTCCACCCATATTTTGAAGCAGGGTATTTACCTATGCGTTTCATAAAATGCAATTGGTAAATTATAAATGATTTTTCTACTGACCGTTGAAACGACAGATTAACGCTTAACGGCTGCGTTTGACCAAGAAAGCACTGATTTTAATATAATTAAATTAAAATGTACAGACTCAAGCTTATTAACACACAAAACTTGTATTAAAGTGTTATAAGGATAAAAAACAATATAATTATTTCTTTTCATTTACAAGATTTTTATATTTAAACCAGCACCAAATGGCTTTATTCAAAAAATTAAAGTTTAATTATTAATATAATATAATTTTATTGATATAATAATAAATAAAACTTATAATAAGAACCCAATAAGCAAGGAATCCCCAATTAACCACTGCGCATGGTTACAACCACCTGGTACCTACTGCGCATGGACACAACCGTCTGGTACTCACTGCGCATGGATATAATCATCTGGTAACCACTGCGCATGGATCCAACCACCTGGTACCTAATGAAAATACAACCATCTGGTACACACCAAAATAACACAATCATCTAGTACCTGCCTAATGTTTATACATAATGATTAATTAAAATTTAAATATGTTATGCTGTTTTTATTCTGCGCGGTCTAATGTAGCAGTGTGATCAATGTCAAAACATTGAAATACAGCCAATTTTGCATCTAGTATGAATTTCAAACAATAAAATAACGCGAATTTACAAGTTTGTTACTTTAAAGTTGTTTGAATAATTGATAAAACGGCCTAGTCAGATGATAGTTGATGTAAAATATCTTATTTCGTTGGTGTCCTGTTTTTTTTCAACATGTATCTAATTTTTTTTAAACCTTTATTTCGGGATTCTTGTGGATTGGTAAAGATATATTTTCCATCACCTCCTTTCTATATATTAATATTTTATGGACTTAACAGGCATGTAGTAACATGTTTCACAAACAACTTTGCTGTTTTTAGAGCAAACATTCCAAATTTATTTAGTTCTATCAAGCTATCTATCTTTTAATTTAAAATCGACCTTTATCTCCCTTATCTCTGCAACTAATTGAAAAATCCTCTTGATGTGTTCCCAGAGTTGGAATTACCTGAGCCGATTTTACGTCTATTATTAAGCTCATTTTTTTTACTAATTCCCTGTTTAATTTTTTTTCTCAGATTCCTTATATTCTTGCATTTTTTAAATGTTAAGTTGTATACAATATGTTTTATGCATCCCATAAACTTAATGCGGGCATGTAAAGGAGATAATCCAAATTGGAGAGCTTCTTCATTAATTACGGACTATTTTCTAAATTGTTTATGTTTGTTGGATTTGTTTTACATATAAAACATGTAGAAGCAGAGGGAGTTTTGGTAAATTTCATGTCTCAGCACAATCCAAAAAATGCTTCTTTGGTCTTCTAGCACTTGATGTACCTGGTTGTGATAAATCTTTATTAAATTCAATATTTATTTCTAATCTAAATTGGTTTGAAATACAATAATTACTATAGATACCTTACACTGAATCAATTGAAGCTGGCAAATAGAGGCTAAAACGGATATCTACAGACGTTGGAAAAGCGCGATAAAATCTAGATAAGAACTGCCGATTCAAGGTTCGAGTTGGTTTTTTATAGACTATTTTAAGGAAAAATTGGAAGGGATTAATTCTTAAAGACCATTGGTCAAAAGCATGGTAACTCCCCCTCGCAAGGGTCATAGGAAATTGACTGGTTCAAAAGTCATAAACTCTAATACCCTTATCATTAAAATGATAAAGGGCTATTGGCTTTAAGATAAGCGGTCAAATAGTTCTTAAGGAAGAAGGCGTTACCCTTGACTTTACTCGGCTATCTGAAAGGCCTGGAACAAACAGCGGGGGATTTTACTAGCCATTGGACGGAGTTTTTTTCACTAATACAACTTCAAAATATAATATAATTCACGAAATTCGATAATTATTAATAGGCCCACAAGCATGGTTTAAACGTATTTAAACGTGCCTAATGATTGGATCCACTATTTTTCTATCTGGTTCTTAACCCGAATTAACTCAGTTTGATTTAATTGAGTTTACCTCATTTAAACCATGCTTATGAGTTTTATCAATCTACACTTAATTTACATTGGCTGATCGAGACTTATCTTTTAATAAGTAGCAGCGCTTTCATATTTCCAAAACAATACAATATACCTAATCTTATTTCTTATTTCTAATCTATAATCTCTTATTTCTAATCTATTTTCTGAACTGAATCAATTTGTTATTCTTACAATAATTATTATATTAATTTTATTATACTTTTAATGCTATTTATTTAGATTTAAAATTCTTGGCTTACAGAAAGTATGGTTGCCATATGCTTGGAGGCTTTTGACGATTCGGATACCCTGTTGTAAAATACTAAATTTCCTTAAAAAAAAACAATAAATTTATTTTTGACGTTATATTTCAAGTACCCTTTTCAAAATTACTTATTTTGCACATGTTGAGGATTTCTAAACCTTATTGCAGCTCTTTTTAAGAATTATTTTAGCCGTCTTTTTTCAACTTTCTCCCTATTACAATAGTATATTATGTACAAGTTTTATAAACGCAATTTTAGTTTTATTAGGCTCGAGCGATTTTATTTGTTAAATATTTGACATTGGTCAACTTTAAACGGATTTAACCCCACTTTTTCCTAATTTCTAATATTATTTAAAAGCCCGTGACTAAAATGCCCAAAAACCTCTATTGCTAACTTCAGCCCGTGACTAAAACGCCATAAAGTCACAACTCGTCAATGTAGGAGTAGATAAAATGTCTTAAATATTGTAGCATGTCTATTGATTAGCTAGTTATGATTTTTTTCTTATATCATTAAAATATCATTTAGGCAGGCATAAACGACATCGGAATCATGTTTTAAAATTGTTTTTAGACAGTAAACACATAATTTAGATGGTACCCAAGTAAAAAAAAAACAACTTGGGAAATAACGGACACCCTAATGAATATTACGCATTATTGCGATTTTGGAAGGGAAAAGTATTTGTATGCACTAGTTCATTTTAATTAAAAAATAAATTATTGTTAGAATATTTCTCTTTACGTGATTTGTGACCATTTTAAGGGGTGCCCAAAAAAATTGTGCCACCCTAATATACATAGCTGTTTAGAAATGTATTAAATAAAAACATTAAAATTATTTTACAGGAAAAATGGATAGATACGAAGCTGAAAAATTACTTGAAGGAAAACCGGAAGGCACATTTCTTTTACGAGATTCTGCACAAGAGGAATTTCTTTTTAGCGTATCTTTTAGAAAGTACGGCCGTTCTTTACACGCGCGAATAGAGCAGTGGAATCATACTTTTAGTTTTGATTCGCACGATCCTGGAGTTTACACCTCCAAAACAGTATGTGGCCTTATTGAACATTATAAAGATCCCAGTAGTTGTATGTTTTTTGAACCAATGTTAACATCGCCTCTAAATCGTAACTTTACATTCTCTCTTCAGCATATGTCAAGAGCAGTTATAGTCGGTCGATTAACATATGATAATATAAATCTTTTACATCTTCCTAAAACCTTAAAGTCTTACCTAAAGGAATATCATTATCGGCAAAAAGTTAGAGTTGAACGATTTGATGATGATGTGCAGTGGCTAGAGGTAAGAAATATGCAAACATGATTGTTTTAAATCGATCTTTTACAAGATTTTGTAAATTACTGTAAATTTAACAATTTATATAATCATGTACATAATTTTTGTCTGTTTAAATTTAAAACATGTTTATTAATAGTCACATATCAATATTATGTTAATACTCAAACATACATATAATGATATATTCCTAAATTGAGATTATAATAAATTATTAAAATGTGTGTACATATTATTAACTACCTACTTTGTTTTGTCTGGTTTAAAATTTATATGTCCGTCTTTGTTGCGCTGCCTACTAGGTCCATTTTGTTAAATTTGATTTTTTGTAGTGAAAATATATGTACATATACTACAGACAATAAATATAATACCAAAAAAATATATAAAATATAGATATCAAAAAGTTGCTTGTTATAGTGACAGTCGTCTTGACTTAATAAAGGGACTGTTAACAATTTTGTGTTGTTTTATTTCATCATTTTTTGCTCGTAGCTATATTCAAATAAGGATTAAATTAGTATTTGTAGAGTTGCGAGAGGGATTTAAAGATATTTTAGGAAGCTGTATTGAATAAAACATGGTTATTTAACATTATGAAGATGCCTCAGTAGTATGTTTTTGGAAATAACGCTAACATTAACGCTAGTATATCTGGAAATAACATTGCCTTTTAATCGTAACTATATATTATCATGTCGGAAATATGTAAAGGCGTATCTATAGATATACCCATATAAAAATATAAGCATCCTGACTACATTGTGCATTTACAATACAGTCCAATTTTTAAAAGAAGTAACTTTCATCATTAATTTACGGATCAAACTCGGACATTGTTTTGTATTTCCACGCCCAGGCGCGCTAGCCATGGAGCGATGGCATACAGTAATACGTATGTTGAAAAACAGGTTTTAAATGTATAACGAAAGTTACTTCTTTTAAAAATCGAACTGTATGTTATTTTTATTATCGCTTGTGCGTGCAATGCAGCATAAAAATGCGTAGCATTGGAGACTCATGTTTGAAATCACCGATTTTGAAAATAATCACATTATTGTGTGGTAGGCATGACGCATATGTCACAATAAAAAATTTGTTTTAAAATTCGTTTTTTGGTAATGTTATTAAAGTTAATAATTTTGTCAAGTACGGTAAAATTCAAAAAATAGAATCTCTGGGACCACTCTGTATAATTGAATTAAATTTTACACACTATTGTACCAATGTTTAGACTATAGAATGATCATTTTGTTAAGGCAAATTTGTTTATATAATTATTAAAATTTTGTATGTGTTCACGCTGAAAAAAAAAATAATCTTGTGTGTTGTATGCGACAAACGTTTCCGTTTAATAAGATGTACTCAAAAATTTAAAATTAAAACAGAAGTAATATTAACAAAATGTTTACCAAAACCTATTGGTTTAAGGTGTTTAGTCTTTATAAGATTACCAAAAACAAAAACTTATTAAAAATGTATTTTTTTCGCCACTAAACCATAGTGCGACGCGTGAAACAAAGCTTCGTTGCGATCTTGCATTTCGTAGCGTTGTAGTTGGGTCATGAGCAAAAACGCTGACTATAGACAGCGTTTTTGCTCATGACCCAATGGCTCTAAATTTTGTTTGTCTAAAGAGATCAGTATATCTCAATAAAAGTTTAATATTTCATTCCTATTGAAATATAATATTTCATTTTTATTGAAATCTTCTTTTCGGAGGTGCAATGATAGTTAACTGTCATTGCAGAAATTTCTTTTACTAAAATGCAAACTTTTCACTTGGCCAAATTGGATTGAAACAGACTTCAAAGATGATATGGTAAAAATTCAGAGAGTTACGAAGCAATTATACAAAAGGGCTTGCAAAAATAGGCTCTGGATCGGTTCCGATGATAAATGAAAAACAAAAATAGCTGCCGAGTCAAGCCACGTCAAGTGGGACCAGAAAATTTTACGAAATCACCGATTTTAAAAATAATCACATTATTGTGTAGTAGGCATGACCCATATGTCAAAATTCGGTTTTTGTTAAAGTTAATAATTTTGTCAAACTTTAAAGCACGGTAAAATTGAAAAAATAAAATATCTGGGACCACTCTGTATAATTGAATTTAATTTTAAAGACTATTGTAGCAATGTTTGGACTATAAAATTATCATTTAATTAAGGAATTTTTTTAAATTAAAGAATTTTGCATACATTTATTATGCAATCGCACACGTGTTCGTCTTTAGACTGACTTGCCGATACATTCCCTAGTAGCAATGGAATTGGACAAGATTCTTTGTCAAGATACTTGGAAAAGCACTTTGTAAAGAATTGGGCAATTCTTGACCAAGACCCTTGATCAAAATTCTTTATTCAGACTGGTGCCAGACTTGCGACAAGTCTGTGACCAGAATTCGACCAGATTCTTGTCAAAATTTTTGTCCCGAAATTGGGGGGCCAAACTTAAAAAGTGCATTCTTTATAGAAAAATAACACTTGTTTGTTTAATAAACATGTATAAAAAAATGCCCCCTAACGGAGCTACGGCCCCCTGAATAAGAGCATAAGAGGGTCATTTTTTTAAAACTATTCCTAGAGGTTTGAACAGGAAGATATAAATTTTTGGTACTTTGGTAATTTTGACATGCTGAATCTAGATCTTAGAACAAAACTGTTAAAATTGAATCATAGGCGTTACATTTGGGGGGGCAAAGTTACAAAAATAGCCCTAACTTTTTTCTAGGTTAATGTTTTAATTTTTGTTTATGAAATTATGAAAATTTATAGTTTTTTACGAAAAATAGGTACACTTTATTTAGATCGTTTAGATGCACCATTTTCGATAAAAATGCTTTTATAAATAAATTACTCTCATTATTATTATCTCATAGTTTCATTAAAACGTTCATGAAGAAATGAATTTTTGGTACTTTGGTAATTTTGACATGCAGAATCTAGATCTAAGATCAAAACTTTTAAAATTTCATCATAGGCGTAACATTTGGGGGGGCAAAGTTACAAAAACATCCCCAATTTTTTTCAGAGTTGGTATTTCAAATTTTTATTATAAAATTATAAAAAATATAACTAAATATTATAAATAACCCAAACGTCACTTTTGTCCTAAAGCCTACTAGAAAATTCAATAGATCAAAACTGTTAAAATTGAATCATAGGCGTTACATTTGGGGGGGCAAAGTTACAAAAATAGCCCTAACTTTTTTCTAGGTTAATGTTTTAATTTTTGTTTATGAAATTATGAAAATTTATAGTTTTTTACGAAAAATAGGTACACTTTATTTAGATCGTTTAGATGCACCATTTTCGAGAAAAATGCATTTATAAATAAATTAGGGTAAGGTGGGGTAGGTTCGGACATGGGGCACCTCCGGACAAATCAAATTTACCGCCTTAAAGGGCTACGAGAGTTTCCATATTGACAGTAAATATTCTTCTACACTAATAGTTCTGTGGTCCGTACATGTTTAGCGACTTTGATCACTCGACAACTATTTATTTGAGAAAATATAAAAACATAGTTATTCTTATAAATTTTATTAGGGCTATCGTAAGCTTTCTTGGCTTAAGAACACCAGTAAGGTAAGTTTTATACCTTTTACCGCAGATATTAATATATTTGGCGATACATAACCTCATAAAACAGCATCAGTTAACCATGTGCAAATTTTTATTTTGATATCTATGTATTTCTGGAACATGGGGCACGTTCGGACAAATCGGGTGGGGCAGCTTCGGACTGTCCGAATGTGTCCCAGTTTCTGGGATGGTACGTAACTAATTTAAAAAGAAAAAAGGTAAAAGGTAAATCCAGAATTTATACAAGCACACCGGAAAAGGAAAGAATTCAAGAATTGGAAACAATGAGAAAACAAAAGTTGGAGAAAAAAAACACGAAAAGAAAAGCATTTCAAAGCGAATGTGAAGTGAAGAAAAATGATACAAAAGTTGGGGAGAAGAGCAAAGGAAAGGCGCCGAAGAAAAAGTTAAAAAAAAATAGAAAGTGACTCCTCGAATTCTGATAGGTATAGATTTACCACAGAATATTGTGCATGAGACAAAAATTTTTGATTCCGATTCTCTGGACGAGTTTCAAGACAATGACGATGTGCTTACGCTATTGCATGATGACGTGATCCATTGTCATGATTATTTGCTTGTCAAATACCCGACCAACAGAAGGACACTTCATTATATCGGCAAGGTAGAATCTTGCAATAATGAAGGCTCTTATAAGACGTATACGTCTTAAATTTTTTGAGGAAGTATAAAAGCGATTTCCGCTTTCCGGACTTGCAAGATATTTCGACTGTTTCCAGAGAAGATATAGTTTCGAAAATACCGAAGCAGCACCAGGAACTTCAAGGATGTGTTCGCTCTTTAAATTTAATGTCAATTTTGATGGTTATAATGTTTAATAAACTTTTTCTAATATAGTCTCTTATTCATTCTAAAAATAAATAGGTTCTAAATTTTCTCAGGCCTGTCCGAAAGTACCCCACTACTTGTCCGAATGTGCCCCAATATGGGGCAGATTCGGACAAATGCATTTTTTTAAGTAAAATATCACCAAACGAAAACCACTTAATATTTTTTGCTTAAGATAATGCTAAAATGTTGGAAATAGACTAAGCTATCCGTAGTATTTGCATTAAGTCTAAAAAAATTTGTTATCTTTGAAATATTAATTTTTGAAAAAACGTGTCCGAACCTGCCCCACCTTACCCTACTCTCATTATTATTATCTCATATTTTCATTAAAACGTTCATGAAGAAATGAATTTTTGGTACTTTGGTAATTTTGACATGCAGAATCTAGATCTAAGATCAAAACTTTTAAAATTTCATCATAGGCGTAACATTTGGGGGGGCAAAGTTACAAAAACATCCCCAATTTTTTTCAGAGTTAATATTTCAAATTTTTATTATAAAATTATAAAAAATATAACTAAATATTATAAATAACCCAAACGTCACTTTTGTCCTAAAGCCTACTAGAAAATTCAATAGATCAAAACTGTTAAAATTGAATCATAGGCGTTACATTTGGGGGGGCAAAGTTACAAAAATAGCCCTAACTTTTTATTCGATATTTTTCTATTTAATGGCAATTAAAGTTAGAACAGTAGTAAATATGGCGGTATATCTGCATAAAATAACCATAAATCATCGTCGGGTCATCGGACGTTAAAGAACGAAAAAAACACGTTTAACGTCTAGGATTCCCATACAGCACACTACATCCCATGGACGTACATTATATATGTATTTTTTGTGTTCTAAATTAGGACCTTTATGCACATTTATTGTATTAATTTCAGAGAATAAGACGAAATAAGCGTTAAACTGGCAGATGCCTAACCTCAGTTTTTTGTATTCAAATGTCAAAGTGGGACTTGCGTGGAACCAAATACTGTGGAATGTATTGTACAGTATTTGGTGGAAAATAG